ACCCTAATTTAATCAAGGATTTTCAATATAATCTTAAATTGTTGGAAATTGATTTTTTTAGTTCATCTGTTGCTTTGTTTTCCAAGTCAAATAGATTATCAATAATCAATCGTTAATCATTATCAACATAATCTGTTCAATCTTATCAATTGTAGTGAATAAATATCAACCTGTAATCATGGATATACAACAATGCCCATACATACATATACAAATCCATGATGATACCATGTAATTTTCATCAATCAATTGTAGATTAATTCAGAAATTGGAAAAGTTCAGTTGATAAAAAAACTTTTTTTTTCCCTTTCCTTAAATTGATCATCTTGATTTCTTTTTAATTCTGGTTTTAAGGAAAATTTCAAAATAAAGATAATGATGATATCTGATTGAGTTATTGATGATAATATCGATATCATCATCATCATCATCTTCATCATTATCTAGAGAAAAAAAAAATCATGATAACCAATTGGAATCCGTTATAAAAACATTGATTAACTCTTTGATTCAATCTAATGATCAACTAATCATTATCATCGCCATTATTATTATCATCATCATTTATTGGAAATTTTTGAACACTAATCAGCCATAACCATCAACTAATTGTACCCATAATGATGATGGTAATTTAGATTGTGATAGTTGATTGTGATTAATAAAAAAAATTGTTTTCTTCTTAATTATAAACCATAATCAATAGAAATCATTATCTTATTATTGGTTTTTAATGACCAACACTTAAGCCACTTGACCACAGATATTGAATTGATGTTTCAACCATTTTTAACCTTAATCTTCAAGTTAATCACTGGATTAGCCAGTGGTAATAATTATTAACCCATGGAAAAGTTTTTAATTGTTAAAGAAAGTAAATTAACTTTTTGAAACGATCTGATTGTAATCCGAATCATAGCAAAGCTTTAATTACTGTCTATACTTTTTGTTTACAACAATTAACAGATAGATGGTTACAATTAACTGTTACTGGCTACTGAATTAAATGATATTATCGTAATTACTTTATGGCTGGAAAACAATTTAGATTTTATGAGAATAGGAATTTTTTTATTCTTCCTGAGATATTAAGGTAAAATCTTTTTGAATTTTCTTGTTACTTTTGATTTGATTCATTAACTAGACATTGAACTTTTGTTTACCTGGTTGTTTAAAGGGTTAGAAACTCATTTAATTGCAATTAAACTTTAACCTCTAATAAGCAAACTGCAAATATGCTGGCAATTAAGATCGAAGGTTAAATCATGGTTAAATTACGTTGGAACCAATTTTGCAAGCCAAGTGGATACAATTACAATTAGTAAATTAAGTTACATTGTTGCAAACAACAGCAAACAATCAAATGCTCATAGAAAAAGTAATAAGCTAATATGTTTTGCTGTTAATTGCAATTAACTTGAAAGTAATCATTTTGAAAAACTAAACCACCAGTAATTAAAAGTAGAAACTAAATGATTAATTGATTTATCATAAAATGGACCATGAATGAGAAAGATTCAGAAAATCGGGCAATAATCAACAATTAGCTTAATCATTTTCTTACTAAATTGCTACTCAATTGTACAAGATTAACTTTTTTTTTAAAAAAAATAGTTGATAATCTTAATACAAGATCTTAATTGTTATCAATGGGTAATGATAATAATAATAATAATAATCCATGATTAAGGATGTTATCGTCATCATAACGATGATTATAATCATCATCATGATACTCAACAACAATCAGGTAAAAATAAGTTTTGATTTAATTGCGATGTGAAAACAATTGATATCGATTGTGAACAGAAAAGGTCTAATAACAATAATACTGTTGGATGATGATATCAATAGTGATGAGGATCAAGATGATAATAGTATAGATAAAGGTATGATGATGATGATAATAAATTGTTAAATCAAATGAGGTGACAAATTGTTTTATTATTAATTTTTTTTACCTGTTGTTGTAACGCCTGGATAAGCATGTTAACTCATGCTGCTTATCATTAGTTAACAATTCAATAAGAATCTTGAGAAAATCTTATTCTTTTCATCCTCATCATCATCATGTTGTTGATCATCTTTATCTTCAGGATAAACATTATTGAATAGGTCAGTAGAGAGAGAGAGAGAGAGAGAGATGAAGATAAAAAGGAAGAGAAAAGTTTTTAAGAATGATTATGATGATAATTATTATTATCATGGTTTTCGCAATATATTGAATGACCAAGATGAAGATGATGTTGATGATTATGATGATAAGTGACCTTATTAACAGTTAATATCGAAAGTACAATTTAACATTCAATCCTAATAAACACAAAGTATTTAGTTGATTAACTTACCTTCGAAGTCAATTGTTGTTGTTGGCCTATTTATCTATTAAATAAATAATATATCAATTGCTTGTATAAATCCAACAATCAACAATTAGCTATCAACAACAGTAAACAATGAATTAGTAAAATAAAAAGTTCTGATGATTAGTTGATGACGAACGATGAAAGGTAAGTAAGAAATTTGGCCTTTTTGTTCAAATCGACAAATCGAAAAGTTTTTATAACAATTCCACTGATTAAGATGAAGGATATTGGAAAGAAATGATTATAACAATTTAAAGGTTAATTGTTTCAATATCTCTTATTGGTCTTTATATGCATGATCAATCAGAGTGATTAATTGTTATGATTATGTTTCCATTTGAGTTAATTGAAAAGTGAAATCTAAATGGTTTTAACTTTGTTAACTTTTACTTGTTACTAATTGTGATTATATGTTATCCAATTTTGATTGTATTGTTATCGTTAGTTAATAATTGATTAAACGATTTCATTTTTCTGTTTACTCTTAAATGTCTAACAATTGATTTGCTTGATTATCATCAGTTAATTATGATACTTTATGGTTTGTCTGGATGATTGATTGTTAATAACAATTAACTGGAACTTTATTGTAATTATGGTTCAATATTATCGTTAACATAATTTATATTATATTCTAAGTTTAGTTGATTTCGTTGGAACGAACAGAAAAAAAAGTTCTTACTCCTGATTGAATAATTTTCTCTCCCTGAAAACTCATCAAGAATCATGATCATGATTAAGTTGGAAAATGTAAATTAAATGTAATCAATTAAAAATAAACACAAAGTAATTAATTGCATCTGACTAGTGATTAACAAGCTAACTCAAAACACCCTAAGGGTTAATTAATTGTGATGAGATAACTAAATTAAATTGTAAATCAATTTATAATCAACTCGTAATTATTTCTCATTATTTTCCTACCTGATCAAATGTCATCAATTGAACACACACATAAGACAAAGATCAAATTACCTTTCCATTGATTTAAATTGATTTACAATCGCTGACAATCAATGACTAATCAACAATCAAACCAACAAATGGCCATGTAAGTGTATCAAATGTTTAAAATACTACCAGCAGTAGTTAATTTAATCAATAATTTAAAGCGGGAAAATTGTTAAATGCTCATTTTCATGATATTGAAAAAGTGAAATTCATGATTTCATGATATTATCTTCATCTTCCTTATTATCATCAACCAGAAGCACCATATTGATTGTTATCCAGTTACTCATTATTATAACAATTATCTTATTACAAGGTAACATTTTGCCCGAGGGGTAGATTTCAATTCTCACCGGTAACCAAGGTGCGTCTTCATCAAAACATCAAGGCGGGGTCATTTTCATCAGCACTACATTAGTATATTAGCATCTTCATCTACATCATCATCCTCATCATCAGCATCTAAATCAGCACCTTAATCAATATACTAATCATCATCTTCTCGGCTCGTGCCAACGTTATTATCAGAAAGTTTTATCAGAAAAAAAATGATAATAAATAACGAAACTATTAACACCTCGAAAACTTTTACTTCTGTTTGTTGTTGTTGTTGTTTAATCAACATGATTAAATTTTATTTGTAACAGATAAAATCACAACAATTAGCCTAAGGTAACACTGATTAACTGTTAAGTGTTAACAAGCATCGATTATGATTATCAGGATAATCGGTTAATTAGCTTCATCATCATTAATTATTAGATTCATCAATTTGATTTTTTGCTTCAAAAATCGTAGTAAACATAAATAATAATATTAATAGGAAAAAAATTGACAAATTGCTAGCAATTAGTTGATTGTTGAATGATGTTGTAAACTGAATCAAATGAGTCTAATGAGTTATCAACAGATTTCTGTTAAATCTAATAAACAATTTACTGACCAATCGAGTTAATTATTTAATTCGTTAAGTAAATAATTGTCCATGATTCTGTGTTGTGATCGTCAATATCTTGTAACAATTTAAAGGAAAGTGTTACAATCTCATATTAACAGTTAACAATTAGTTGATTGTTATAACAAATTTGTCTCTCTTTCTCTTGTTTATCTGATTGTGATTAAGAAAGAGGATAATTATTATCATGATTATGATGAAAAGTGATAAATGATGTTTAAAGTTACATGATAATATCATGATGATAATGATGAAAATGATAAATGATCATTTGACTGGTTTGATTTGGTAAACAAATAATGATAATGATTAAATTGTAATTGAATGAATTGTTAGTTAACAAGTTACCTACCTGTTGATGATCACAATCAGTTGATTAAAATAAGATTAACAAATTGTTTCCAACCATTTCTTATAAATTATCATCATGTTATTGTGTAAACAAATGATTAGCTAAATTAGTCAATTACAAATTGAATTAATCAATTTAATCATCATGGTTGAATATCATTTCATTTAATTTAATGATGATTGAGCAAACCAACAATTGTTTCACTTTGATTGTTGGTTAATTTGATTGTGATTAAATTGGTCGATTCATTTTCTTACTTTATTAGACTGTCATGATTTAAGTAAATTGTTGTTGTAATTGTTTAATTTGCAATTGTATTAATAGTTGATGCAATTGATTTGTTGTTGTTGTTGTTAAGGAAATTCAATTGTAATAATTAGTTAATTGTTTACTCTCTTTATTTTGTTTTGTTTTGCTTTCGATTTGTACAAAAATGGACAATTAGATTAAATAGATTTGTCGTCAAAATTTATGGTAATTAAAAGTTTTCTGATAATAAACATTTTCATTTTCATGTTTTTTAGCAATTTATATAAAAAAAATTAATCATTAGTTAATCAGCCTGCTATCAGCAACTATTTGATTTGATTTCATCCACAATTAAGTTTTAGATTAAAAAAGTAATTGATTATTTGGTCGTTGTAGTTGATACTTTGCTTTTTTTTTGATGATTATTGTTGTAGATTAAAGGAATTAATCTGATTATCCTTTTACTATCGGTATGTATTAATATATATTTATATATAGATTAACTCTCTATCAGGATCATCATAATGATCATTTTTTCATCACAATTATAATCATCATCTTGGACATCATCATTATCATCATCATCATCATGATAATCATTGGGTATCATTGTTGTTTTGACCTGGTAATTGAAATGGACAATCGTTAATTGGAAAGTTGATTCCATTGATTGTTGAAAGATTATTTCTAAATTTGTTGCTGATTGTTGTCACAAATGTTAATATAATTAACATTTAAATTGTTGAAAATGAGGGAAAAAAGGTATCTTCATTGTGAAATGAATTGAATAAATTGAATAGAATTAATGGTTAATTATGATGGAAGATGATCATGATGATGGTGGAAATTTTATATTTGAAGATGTTGATGAAGAGATGATGATGATCTTAATGGAATATATGAAGAAAAAAGAATAGAAATTGAAATATAAACCTTTTTCTTTTTCTTAAAATTTTTTGTTCTGTATTTGGAAATTAACGGGAAAAGTTATAGCCCGTTTTCAAAATGAGATCGTTTGATGGCAACGAAATTGGAAGAAAATGTCTTTGTTATTTTGAAATGACTCTTTTTTAGCGCAAAAATGATGATAATCATGATAATGATGACGATTTAAGCTTTGTTGTTGTTATTGGAAGACTTTTGGAAGACTCTATATCTTGGATTGTGTAGATTTGATTGTTCCAAGCCAATGTTTGTGCCCTTTAGATGCTTTTCAAGATAATTGAAGATGAAAATTTAGCTCATCTCATCTTTTTTTTTATGGAAAAATGTTGTAAACTTTACTTTGTATGTCCAATATTTAATAATTCGATTAAGGTAGTGTCATTGAGGGTGGAGCTGAAGGCGGTGGAGTTGGCGATTTTTTGGCTGTTAGGTCAAGCGGTGTGGTTACTATGTTGTCCTCGTTGGAAGATGGCGAGAAACCGGAATCATGATCACCAATCATGCAGCTTTTACTTCCCTCATCTCCTGTTGTTGGATTATTGTTATCGTCGTGAAGGCACAATTCAGCATCTTCAGCATCTTCTTCCTCTTCTTCCTCATCTTCGGATCCTCTTGTTGCTCGTCGTGGTTGTTTCTTTGATTTGTTTCGATTATGAGGATTTAAAGGTTTTACACTGACAGATGAACGTGACAAGTCAATGGGTCTCTCTTGATCAGATGATAATCCATTACCATAAATAATATCACTTGGAGAGGGTGGAGCTCCTTTGATATTTAGAAAATGTGATGATGGAGATAAGGAGACGGATGAAGATGAGGTTAACTTAGAAACTTGATTAATAGATCCTATTGGGAAAAGTCTATTAGAATATGCTGAACTTAGAAGATAATTGTTAAACTCTTTGGGTAAAACGTTAAATCCTTTGCCAAACAATTGAACAGCAGAATGAAAAAGATGACGTGATGATGGATCTAAAGGTGACATAGGAGCGATTGGTGATATAGGTATTCCATGGTGAGATTGACTACCAAGTTGATGATGATGAAATGGAAAGGTAAGATTATCATTAGGTGTTGCTACACGTCCATTAGATGTGATACTAGGACTTGATGAATTAGACAAAGGTGTTGTAATGGTTGAACCAATGGCCGGTGTTGAAAGATTAACTTGTGAGGTCTGACCGGAGACTATGGGTGGAGAAGAAGATGAAGAGGATGAAATATTAAGAGGATGGATAAACTGAGAGTGTAAAGAATGAGGATGTAAATGATGCTGTTGATCTTGATGAGATGATTTTGAAGAAGATGCTTGGGCAACTGCAGCAACGGCCGCTGCCAATTTAAGGTTAGCTTTAGAATCACTGTATGGATGTAACATGAAGGAATTGGTTGGATCAAAGTTTGAGAACCCAAAGGCTTTGGCAACTTCAATTATTGAACAAGGTGATGAATGATGATTAACACGTCCCGATGATCCTTCACTTCCCAACGTTAATAAAGGCGATGGACCGTCCGAAGAGCCGTTATGATTTCCCGGTGAAACATGAGTTTGATTTTTATTTCCATTGCTTGTTAGCACAACATTACTATGATTAGTTATATTATGAAGGGTATGGTTGTTGTTACCATTATGATTGGAGAGATTATTGTTTGTTGAACTGTTTTTGTTGTTGATGATGTTATTTTTATTGTTATTATTGTTAACATTGTTGTTATTATTACTATTATTGTTGTTGTTGTTGTTGTTGTTGATGATGGTGTTGTTATTGATACCATTGGTGGTGGGATTTTTAACATGATTGTTAACATTTTCTCTCAAATTGGCTTCTGATTTAAATTGATTGACGAGATCTTTGTTTTCATTAAAAGATTCATTTAACTGAATTGATCCATTTGTATTGGTCGTCAGGCTTGTTTGATTATCAATTAAACAATGTAACTTAAACCAATTTGATCGACGTCCATATCGAGATCCTGTTTCCGTCAATGAATTTGTGTATGTGTATGTGTGTAAAAGTAAAAACAATTAAATTTGAAGAAGAATAAGAAGAAGAAAATGAGGATAAACAAGAAAAATAAAAGAATAAAAAAAAATAAGAACAAATTAACAAAATTGATTAACAAGAGGGAACAAAATTAAAAAGGAATCAAACATCAATCATGTAATAAGAATAAACCAAACAAAAAAAAAAGAGAATAGAACAAAAATGAAACAAAAAGGAGAAAAAATTCTACGGGACCAACACCTAATTGCGAATATTAAACAAACATAGAAAGAAGGGTAAAGGTAAAAGAGAGAGAAGAAAAAAGAGAAGATAATTAATGTAAAGATGATCCCTAATTAAAGAGTAATTCAAATTTCGGTTAATCATGATTGTTGTTTAATTACTTTAATTTAATTAATGGTGATCGTTATTAGTATTTAATTTAGTTTCTTTCTACTGACATTGTATAATTTAATTAAGTTACTTAGTTAAACAGGTTAAACCCTTCCGGCAACCAAATTGTAATATCTTCTAATTTTAATTTTTCCATTAATTTTGGTGATTTACTTTGGCTTTTTTTTTCTTGTTTTTCGCCATTTTCATCGGGCTTTTACTGTGTCTTATCCCTATCGCTTTTTTTTTATTTACCTCTTGGTCTCTAACTTGCTTGATTGTTGCATTAATCATGAACCCATCAGGTCATTTAAATTTAATTGTTTTTGCTTCTCTCTCAGAGAGTAAAGTGTATTCTTCATGTTTTGTTGTTGTTTTTTCTTCTTCATCTTATATTCTGTGTTCTGTGTCAATCATGATCTCGATCATCATCATGATTATTATTATTAAAACATAATCATCATTATCATCATCATGCACCACAATAAACACAACAAAAGATACAACATGAGATGATGCTCATCAATTGCTCATTTCTCTATATATCTTATGGTTTTTCTTTTCTCTTTCTCTCCTTTTTTTTTCTACTCTTCTGTTGCAGATCATTAGAGTTGGATTTCAATTTCTATCCAAGGAAACAAGTCAATTATAAATTAACTCAACTTAAGCTTTTGTTATAATGGTTATAATTGTTTGGTAAGTGGCTATTTCTTTTTGATTATCTTCCAACAACAATTTAATTTATGTCTTTTTCTTTTACATTTACACATGTAACATTTTCTTTGGCCGTTTAGGAGAAGCGAAAAAAAAACCGTAATGTCGTTTGGTTGTGGTTTCATGTTCCCTCTTCTTCTGATTAAGATAAGTGAGCTGATTATTTAATTAAGTGTTTTATATTTATTTGTTTTTTTCTTTCATCTTAATGTTTTAATTTGGTTTTGGTTTTTTTTTCTCCTTCTCTTCATTTCAACTTCATTTCTTATCTCTGCTTTATTTAGATGTAAATTAAAGCATGATAATGTTAATGGTCTCTCTCTCTCTCTCTCTCATACATAATATCAATTTAGAATTGATCATGAAGATGATCCCTTAGCGCCCTGATCATAATTATATGATGATGATAATAATGAATTATAAATTATTTAATCAAGTTTTAAAACGTGAATCAAGTTTACACCAATTTCAAATTATCTTTTAACTACTCTGGAAGCATAGAAAACCATCAGAAGAAATCAAAGATGCGATAGAGAACCACAAGAGCTGAATACATTATCAACAAGAAGAAAAAGAAGAAGAAAAAAAACAATAATATTAATAATTATCAAAATTTTCTCTTTACAGTTGCTTGATTTGTCACCATTAATATCAAAAGGACGAGGATGGTGGTAACTGTTACTCGTATTAACGAGCAGAGGAAGTTGGACAAGAAGCGCAATCACCATCATCATCAACAGCGCGCATAAAGAAAACGAAGCCCATCTTACCTTGAAGATGTCAACGGAAGTTAAATATTAATTCCTTGTTTCGATTCTCACAATTTAATTCATTTCTCATTGTCTTCTTCATTAGCATCATTTTATCAACACTTTTACGCTTATTCCTCTCTCTCCCTCTTCCTCATAATCTTTCCCGCTAATTGGAATTACATAGGCAGAAAAAAGAGACAAATTATCAACAAAATTCACATAGTTAATTTCGTAGTTTAAAACAATGAGAAATTTGTTGATCTGTGATAAACAAAAAACGAAACGTAATAATATGTTAACTTCCGTTAATTAAGGTTAAAGATGAACCTTAATTTGATGATGATGCTTCCTCTTAATTAATGCGACACACAGTTATAGTTTCTATCCACCCACCTACATCCACCTTCCCCTCCCTCCTTCCGCCTCCCTCCTCCTCCTCCTACAACCTCTTATACTACTAATTGATTGTGAGATTCAAACTGACCGACAATAATAACCTCAAAATCAGTAATCCAGTATAAAGAGTAATCATCACAATTAATATCTTTGTTTTTTTTCCTCCACCATCACGATTATCTTTTGTTTTAAATAATATTTAATAATGATAATTTAGTTGGTGGAAAAAAAGAACATTGAATCAATTAAATCTATATATTCCTTTCTATAGATCATCTATAATAACAATCAACGCTTTTTGGAACTAAATTAACAGCATTAATTTCATATCATGATGATAAAGATGATGATCTTTACATGGCTAATCAAACAGTTTTACAATCAACAAAAGATAACTGACAATCAAAGGAGATTAAAAACAAGACTAATGATCAACCTGATTAAATCAACTTTCATCTTCATCACAATCAATCATGATGAAAACAAACAAGCTAACAGTTTTTAAGGATCATGGTTAATTATAATCAATTAATCTTGTCAATGAAAACTTTCACAACAACACCAACAACAAATTGTATCATCATCTTTAAATTAGTTGTATCAATTTATTCAAATTTAAACTAATCAAGGTTAGTAACGTAACTTTCAATTCTCATTGATCCTCATTTTTGATAGATTAATAAGCTTCCCTTTTTTTTCATTGATCAAGATTAACTTTGAAAATGAAAAAGCGCATACAAATCACATATTCATTAACAATTTAATCAATTGGTAATAGTTTTGATTAACTATTAACATTAATCAAGTATACAAATTGATTGAATCAAGTTGACCCGTTTTTTTTTTATATTATTTGAATTGTAATTCATTAGGTAATCGCTTAATTTGCAGATTTATTGAGTATTATTATTTCCTTGGATCAACACACCACAACAACAACAACAACAACATTATGAGAAATAATAATATGATGATAATGAAAATCAAGAAACTTTTCCTGTTAATTATCGTTAGTTTAAAAAACGTGATTCGATGTTTTTTTTTGTCAAAATTTAAATTTTCATGAAGAAAAGGAGCCCAAGATATTTGGAAGATGAAACTTGGTAATCAAACTCAATTCAAGATTCTCATGAACTTAAAGATTATCATTATTATTTCTCTCTTTCTCTCTCATCTTCATAATGATGATTATTATATTAATACTATTATCATTATTATTATTTCAACGTGATTCGGCCTGGAAAAAAAAGTGAATCGATAATTGTGATTACAATGGGTAGACGACAACAATCAAAGATGAAATAATTATCTTCTAATCAAGAAGTTATTGGAAATTGCGGATTATGTATCATCATCATCATCATGATTATTATCAATTGTGAGATGAACTTTTGAATTGATTTAGTGAAATGCTAATACCAAGAGGATTAAATTACAGGATTGAATTTATTCAATTATTATCAATCTCTATTTCTCTTTCTATCATATTGTGGTCAAGATGTTGATTGAAAAAGTTTGATTGGAAAGGAAAAGTTTTGGATAATCGAAAAGAAACTCGAATCTTACCTGTTTTGGACATTCCGACTTGGATACATTTTTTTAAGCGGCAACATTTACACGAAGTCCGATTTTTTTTGTTAATTACACACTGATTGTTGTTTTTACAATCTCCAATGGTCGATGGATTATTATATGTCCTACCGAAAAATGATTTACATCCTTCACAGGTAAAGGCACCAAAATGGTAACCAGCCGCTGGTTCACCACAAACTTTACACAATTGATTCATTTAATCAAGTAAGTAAATCAAACTTAATCAAAGTCACCAAACAATTTAAAACAATCTTAAAAAAAATATATATCAAGTGATGAAGTGATGAAGGAAAAAAAAAGAGATTGAAACAGATACGAAAAAAAATATCAAAAATCAAAGTTATTGATACTACGATGATGATGATTACGATGATTACGATGTTAATACATTTATATCTTGTGTTGTTATTATTTGTTGACGATGTTGTTGTTGTTGTTGTTGCTAAAAAAAAGTGAATTGAAAAAAAGATTTAAGGAAGAGAGAGAGAGAGAGAGAGTAATCAGGTAAATAGGGAGACATTGAGTGAGAATGAAAAAGAGGGACATGCGTAGCCACTCAAGGATACTCACTTACTAACTCACTCACTCTCTAATTCATAGCATCATTATCATCTTCTTCATCTTCATCATCATCATCATCATATTGAAAGAAGAAGAGAAAAGATGAAGGCGAAAAAAATGGTTAAATAATCAAATGGATAAGCATTAAATTAATAATGACAAATAAACTGGTTAATAGCTTATTCACGTAATTTATTATTATCTTAGTGAAAATACAACACAAATTGTTAAATTGAATGAAAAATAATTGAGTTAATTAAATAAACGTTTTTCGTTTGTTATTGATGAGGATCCATCAAAAAAGATGACAGACAAGCTTCCTCATTGACTTTTGATATGATTGCTCATCTTAATATACAGAAAAGGTGTTAAGGTTACCTGTTGAAGGTTCTTTCTCTTTACCTTCTATCATCTTCATCACCTTTTTTTTTACTTCTTCTTAAGGTGATTTACCTGGAGAGTTGTCAGGTATCATTATTGACATTACAATGGAAACAGATGATTTTTGATTAATTTTTTCTTATCCAGTTAAATTGTTTTTTAAGCCATTTAACTTTTCTCTCTCTTATTTTTTTCCTTTTTGATTTGAAATGTAATTCTGTTCAATTTTTGATTTCATCAGTTGATGAAAAATGAGATAATTATAATGATAATGATTCTTTAACTTGATAATTTACACACGCGTCCACAATACGATATAACACGAGAGAGTAAAAAATCAACAAGAAATTGAAAAATGTTCTGATTGACAGGAGACATTCCACCAGCATTTAGATGGAATAAGAGATGATTTTCTCTCTCTCTCCCTCTCTTGAAATATTCTGAAGTTGATAAGATGATTGTGATGATGATCATGATTAAGAGAATGAGGATGAAAAAGGTTAAACCTGTCACCTAGAATATATAAAGAGAGAGAGAGAGAGAGAGGAGATATATTGCTCAATGGGCTGAATGATTGTTCTGATGAAGATGATTTTTTGATCATGATGATGAGAAGGATAAAAGTTGATGATCTCTTGAATTGTCCAGTAACCATTATGGTTACAGATATTATCTTAAATGAAATCCCATTAGCAACATGTCAAAGATGAAGATGAAGGTTTCATCATCATCTCATCATCATTATTAGTAATAAACTTTTGGAACAATTTGTTTTAATTTACTTTGGTGATCGATGGATACCTGTTGAGATTTAAAAAATAGCAAGATGATTAAGGTGATGATGGAAGTTATATAAAAATTGAGTAATTTTTCATCTCTCTCTCTCTCTCTCTCTCTCTCTCTCTCTCTCTCTCTCTCATTTGTCTTGATCATTTCTTATTATTAATTAATTGTGTTGATCAATTGTATCAAAAATTGATGCGGTTAAACTTTTTGAATCTCGAATAGTTTTCAAGGTTAAATCATTGACAAAAATTAGACAGACTCTCAATCGGTTGGTTGATTATTTCAAATTTAATGGTTTTACCGCAAAACTAATTCAATCATTAGCACTTTACTTTAAACTGACGTCAGCTATCAACAGATGATTGTAGCAATTAGTTAATTTTTTTGTTTCTTCTTGCAAACCCTTCAAATGAACTAGTTAAATTGTGACTAATATTATCAATAGAAAAAGTTACTTTTATTGTTTATCGTTATTATTGTTACATTCATAAAGATCTGAAATTGATGGTGTGTTGATGATGAGGATGCCCTTGGATGTCATCAGACATCATTTGAATTATTGTTAATTCATTGATTATGATAATGAAATGCTTTGAATAGATCACCGTTTTTCGAGTGGTTCCTTGGGGAAAAAGAGAAAAGAAAACATTGAAATTGAAATTCTCTCAAGATGAATCATGTTTTTCTTACAATCTACTGAGAATCATGATCGCCATCGTCATTATCAGGGGGAAATTCAGAGTAAATTTCATCATGGAATTGAAAAAAGAAACTCAAAACAAACTCTAATTCAGTTTAACTGTTAATTGCTTCGCGATTGTTTAACATTATTTTCACTTGTTGCTGTTGTTGTTGTTCAGTTATTGACATGGTGATAATTTCATGATGAAATTTCATAGGAAATAATTTCTATACAATAAACATGCGCATGTTGACATGCTCTGTGATTAAATTGTAACAACCAATCATATGTTACAATAACTGTTCAATTATCATAATTAATTGTTCAGGAAATGCTGATACAATTTACTGTGTTTACATAACAATTAAGACCCTGATTCAATGTTAACTTTTCTTGTACCCGAAACTTTTATCAAACTTTTTGTTGTAACAATTAAATTGAGATGAGAAAAAAAAACATCAAATTGATTAGCTGAATAATAATAATTGATTTTATTAGATTAATAATTTAATAAACTTCAGGTAATTGCATACATTGAATCAGAATTGAAGTGCAATTTATATTCACTGCAACAATTTAATTAAATGTTAATTCATTGTTTCCCTTTAACGATATGGTATTTGTGAAGTATGAAAGTAAATCAAGTAAAAACTAATTGTTATCATTATTTTTTTTGTTGTTTTAATGTAAATCAAATCAAAAGTAATTAAAATTAAATTGATTTAATGAGAAATTCATCAAAATTGAATCGTGATCTTCAGGCCAATCAGACTAAGTTAGTTAGGTGTTGATAAGCCTGCAAAGGTAAAGGTAAAGGTAACATGAGGTAGTTTTATATGATGTATGGGATGAATTAAACGTTGCATGTTTATCCATTAAATGTTTGCATATTTAATTAACAAGTTTCAGTTGATGAGAAGAAGAAGAAGATTAATAAAGAAAGAGAAAAAGAAAGAGGAAAATTGAATTGGTTTTTATGAATCAATTGCAAAGTTATTAGTCAGACACGCTCAATGTAAATAATGGATTGATGATGTTGCCTTAAATTAAACTGGAAAAATCATCAACAATCAAGGCTGAATGAAACACTCACTATGCCTTAATTTTTTCTCTCTCTCTCCTTTACCTTTACAGGTAAATCATGGAACCGGTTTCATGCTTTTATTATATCTTTTAGATGGTCAATCCAAGGTAAGATTATGGTCTTCCTTTTCTTCATCATCTTGTTCATCTTCATGTTCATTATTCAGACTCTCTCTCTCTCTCTCTCTCTCTCTCTCTCTCATCTTCTTTTAACCTTCTTCTATGTGGTTTCCAAATTATTCAAGTGTTTACACTGAAAATCTTAAACCCGCTCATCTTTGCTCTTCCTCATCATCCTTACCCACCCTCTCCATCTTCTTCCTCACTCTCTCATCTTCCTTTTACTCAATGTTTGCAAACCACAGAATATAAGATTATCATCATCATCCCTCTCTCTCTCTCTCTCACTAATTTCTATTTATATCGTAATTCAAACCTTACCTTTATTTATTATTTCACCAGGTAAACTTTAAGGTATGATAACATAATTATCGTGTATTTTTTTACAGTTTTACTTTTCAAGGTTCACCCACTGGACCTGATTAGACTTATGAATGACCAAAATCTAAATCTTGGTGCTTCATGATGATATTATTACGCTTCCATTGACGACCAGATCCACTTTTCGTTAGTTATTGCATTTTGATCGTTAAACTCTGGAAATATTGGTAATATATTTTTATATTTTTCATGTAAAAAAGGTAAACACTGAGTCATCACCATGATACTCATCAGAATCATCATTTAAAATGACGTAAGTTTAATTTCTTAGCAACTCAATGTTGTTATTCAAATGATCAACCTGATTATTAACACAGAAAACGATATCAAATGATTATAAACTAAACAATTAATTACTCGTAATTTGATTACAAAGTTAATAGTCAATCAATCAGATTGATTGATATTAACATAGAGAGAAAGAGAGTGAGAAAAATAAAAGGCTTTTTCCTAATCAGAATTAAATTAAATGATCTTTATCAGGGTGAAACTCGCAAAAAGAAATCGAGTCTAAATTTAATTGAGTTAATTAAGTTTCGTGACAATTATTTCATTCATTGAATGATAAACATAAAAATGATGCGAAAAAAATGAAATAACAGTTGGACCTTTTTTTTTATTTTCCTCGAACTCTCTTTCTCTCAACATTATTATTATTACCATTTCAAGGTTCAGATTAATCTGAGTACATTTCATTTTCTATTTTCTACTTTTTTTTCTCAATCATCATGATCTCATGTTTTATCGGTGTTTCCCCGAACCCAAAGTCCGTTGGAACATGCAAAACCATTGAACAGAGAGAAAAAGAAAGGTAAGAAAATAATAGTAACGAAAAGGATCCTTCGTTAGTTACCATGGTCAATAATAATGATAACGAAAAGAAAATCAGGTTGGCATGAATTTCTTTCTTTCTTTCTTTCTTTCTCTCTCTCTCTCTCTCTCTCTCTCTTCATCTTCCAACTATGATTCCATATCAAGGTCGCTGGTAAAAGTTGTTGTTATTTTCTTTTCCAGGTAAGAAAGAGAGAAAGTGGAAGAGGGAAGAGGATGCAAGAAAGAGAAAGAAAGAGAAAGAGTAACGTGCCAATCTGATTTCTTCTTCTTTTTGAGTTACAGAATTTACAGAATTTCCTTGAACATTTTTTTACCTTTTCTTTTTCTCTGCCATGTAATAAAAGACATAGAACAAGAGAGAGAGAAAGAAAGAGAGAGACGGTTTGTTTTCTTTATTAAATTGAACAGAAACATTGTCATAGTTGGTTAATCACCTTAACTCATAATAATCATGACAATGACGGTGATGATAAACTTACATGGTAATGAGTTAACTCATCGTTCCAGTTTCATGGTTGACATATTTTGCTCACTCAGTTGACACGATGTCTTATTAGACTCTATTCATCACTCTAACAACCACTCCCATCATAACCACTGGTAACATATTACCCTAGTTAGACAAAGTTAATTATCATCATTTGTCATCATTCATTGAGATCATGTTAACAAGACAAAACTTAACAAGGGTCAATCTCAATTCTGTATCGGTCATTTCACTTTTATTTGACCAATCAAAATAAGGAAATGAAAACATTGAAAAAGAAAAACTTTTCTCTCTCTCAATCTTCAGGTAATAATAACATTATGTCATCTTGATGTTTACCTGAAAATTTAATCAAATAAATTGAATGAATTCAATATCATCTTATAATCTTGATAAGCCTAATTGGGTCAAGGTTGATTCATCTTCATTCTTGATTGTGATTAAATTTACATTTAAGTTAATTAATTCAATCGCCAAATAATCAACTTTCACTTTCACAATTCAAACTGATTCGTTTTCTTTTTTTTCTAAATTGAATCTTAATTAGTTAATTATTAATTTTCTTTCTCTCAATTCTGAAGGCCCAAGTTAATCAATGAAGAAAATATTATTATTAAATTGAGTTACTAATTAAAGATTTAACAATTAACCAGAAACAATGCTAATCAGTGAGCACAAAAATAGTTAAAAAGGTTAACCAACAATCAATTTTAATATCGATTGTTATTATTACCACAATTATTGATCAATAACAATTAAAATTACTTTTCCCATTGAACAATTAATTGATTACGAACTGAATGAATCTATGTTTTTTTGTTTCATATCAAATAGTCAAGTTAATCAGTTTAAAATTGATTGTTAATTGTAATCAAATAATTACAATTAACGAAAAGCTTGTAGCTCAATTCAAGGACCAATTTTTAATTATAATCACAACTATTTCAAATTCAATAGTAAATTCAAACAACAATTAAATGGTAAATAATATTAACACTGTTTAATAGTGATTTAGGAAATATATATTAATATGTATAAGAAGTAAAAAAAAATTATATCTAAATCAAATTAAATTTTAATAACGAAAACAATTAACGTATTAACCTATTGAAACGACATTGTTCAATTAAGGAAGTTTGTAATTCAATGATTTAATGAATGAATCAATTGTTAATCAACACTCCAACAATTAATAATGATAACTTTCTAGTTGAGATGTTAATTTTATTTAATTGTAATTAACGATCAGTGAAAAACCAGAACAAGAAGTAAGAACAACGAGAGAAAAGAAAATTATTATTTCTCTTTTTTTTTCAAGATCATTCAGAATTCATGGTGAACCGATTAACTCGTAAACGAGCACGCGATGTTTTCACAGCTTCCAGCACGTTACAACTTTGGCAATTTCGTATGTATACACATCTGAAGGAAAGAGAAATTAATCTCTTTCTTTTTTGTTGAGTCGAAAAAATGTTCAAATTCGAGAAAATTGTCATTGGAATAATTTATATATAATTAGAATGGAGCATTTTCCGTCTTTCCCTTTTTCTCGTCAGAACTTTTCGTTTGTTCGTTAGTTGGTTCATTCGATTCATTTCTCTCATGCATCTTAAGAATATTAAATTTTAACAATCAACGATCAATACCAAACTTGCAACAGTAAGAATATAAAATAGAACGAAAAGTTTTTTGCTGAACTTTTGTGCGAAAAAAGTTCG